TGGAATACTAAAGTGTCACAAGTTCCACATAAGAACATTGCGCAAGGAAAAAGGATCAAATTAGATTACCAGTTACTTTTTGTGGACTCTTTTAACTCTTCTTACTTCACCACCCAAGTATCATCCCAGTGTGAAGCTGATCACAGGAACTAGGCAGCCACTAATAATGTTTCAGGCTCAGCCAAGTTTCTTTATCAATATATCAATACGGAATCAGAGTTGAATGGCACGTAATTGCAGAACACAGCATGACTGCAAAAGGCCTCAGGCACTCAGGGCAAAAAATTGCCTCTGCTGAAGTCACAGATTTTTGCAACAGCTTTCAGAAGCCCCAGGGTTAAGAGCATTATGGTTTTCATAGTATACTTAATTTCGGTCTGGAGTGCAGACTTTGAGCCCCTGACGTTTCAGATCAGGGTATGTAATAACCATCCTCCAGATAGTTACATTTACTCCTAAATGGTCCTGAATTTTAATAAACCTGTAGCTGTGAGAGGGCATAAAGCTCTTGTCCTTGGATAAACCCTTAACTGTGTGTTTGAGATTCAAACTTGTTTAAGTTAGGTTTTACTAGTATTACTATTTCTTCAGTCACACACTGAAGCCCAGCACAGAAGCTTCTTTATGATTAACTGGCACTGAAGTAATGGCCTTTACAAATAAAAAATGAGAACAGGGGAACATGTGATATATATAAAAAAAAAATCTGGAATATTTTACATAGCATAAGCTCACATGTTCACATGCACCTAGGTAAATAGGAAGCCCACAGTTATTTACTTGTGAGCATTATGTGCTTCAAGCCCTGAAACCTGCATTGTGCTGAAGTCAATTTTAAAAATGGACATTCAGGCACCTATGTTAATAAAAAGAACAGATGCCTTATAAAGCGGTTTAGGCTTCCTACTTCACAGGTTGTCCGAGAGGTTTGTGCAGCCAAACAATCTGGGTATCTGTGCTTCATATTCAGCCACAAGAATGCTACAATTAATTGTGAGGAAACCTTTCAGGTCTTGGTCCTCGGTGTTGGTCTTACATTCACAAAATGACATCTATTTTTGCAAAAAATGAGAGATATTAAGATATTCCCCAAGATGTTTTGAAGAGAGTCTAAAACCTATGCATTTACTGGGAACAGGAGGCAGAAGCAGGGGCTCCTAAGAAGCCTGATTTCAGCTTTCAGGGGATATTGGGCCAATACTCTACTGGGGATTAGAATAGAAGTGACTAAGGGCAGGTCCATTCAGCTATGGTATTCCTGGTATAACTGGAAGATAATGAGTGTGAGACATGAAATTTATCCAGTACTAAAATGACAGATATAATTTTTCTAGTTATATTAACTTTATTTAGCTATTCTTGATTTTATATAACTTTATCTTAAAATAAAGATCTATACTTTTCAAATACAATATTTCTTGACATGGCCAGTTGATTTTTTTTCTTCCATTTCATTTTAGATCACCATATTTATAACATTTGCTTACTGACCTCTCACATCAGCTTTTACAGCAGCTTTCAAGAAGGTAACTGATTTCATGGTTCAGAGCAATGATGATCCTTCAGAACAAAGGTTTGAAGCCAGAGATAATTGGAAAAATGCAGATAGTGTAAAAATATAAATATATATATATCCCTCCCACAAAAATACCATCTCTTTGGGTCAGAACAGAATAGTCATTCTCTAACACCTTGTATAGAATTTAAGAAAACATCCCTGAACCTGTTTGTTTTTTTGAGTTCGTACCCAGCCATTTCCTTGCAGGCTGATTTCACACTGTTATTCCAGTGATTGACTGTGTCTTCGAAGAAATGATCTGTTCCTTTGTGTTCTAGGCTTCCTCTTGGCCCTGGAGTGTTACTGTAATATGAAATACGATGGCACTTTTTTTCTTTTTATATAATGCTCTCCATATTGGATGTATTGACAAGTAGGTGTAAAGTGTCTTCTGTTTGCTAGTTCCTCTGTCAGCTGCTGTGGACATACCCTCGACTGGAATCTCCCCTTGCCCAATCAGATTCCTGTGACAGTATTTTCCTTGATCTATATGTAACAAAACTGTTGTGCTGACATCCTGGTATGTTGACTTGTTACTGTCCAAGAGGGGGGTGGAACAGCAAGGCAGAGAAAATCCACTATACATTCTAACATTTAGGCTTTATCCTTTATTAGGTAGTGAGTAAGAGACATAAAAAGAATTGAGTTTGTTGTTTACAGCTGAAATTTAAAAGAGACTTGTGTGAACAAAAACCTGTTCCATAGAGCACTGTGACAAAAGAGGTCCAAGAAAACTGAAGGTGTCATTGCAAAGTGGCTGATGTAAGTAGTTGGAATGACACTCTTTTTATTTCTAGCAAAACTTGTATTAACTCTGCCCTTAGTACTGTGCCTCCATACATGCCACAGGCCACATTTTGGCAAGGATCAGCCTGTTGATTTTGATGGCATCACAACAACATGGCAGGGTGTGCAGCAGATGTCCATGCACCAGAAGGCCGTGCATAAGAGCCTACAGGATATTTGTGCATCTACCCTTTTCCGATCTGCGTTTTTTTTTCACGGGGAGAAGATCGCCTGCCCAGAGGTTCTCCTTTCCCAGAACACCAGTCCTCCTCTGCTCATTTAGCAAGCTCTTACCAAGCTATTACAAAAGGCTCTGGAGATAATCGGTGGTTCATGGAGCACAGCCTTATTCAAGGAGGAATCTGAACACAGCTGACAATGGCACTTCTGCAAAAAGATGGAAGGTTGAAAGCAGGCTTAAAAGACCAAGGCCAAGTTTTTGCAAAGAGGAGTTGAACCTTACTACACTATATTTATGTACCCAAATAAAAGGAAACATTTTCTAAATTGAGTGTTAGGTGCAGGTTTTTTAGCTGGCCTGTTTACTGCCTCTTTACTGGGAGCTGTAGAGTAGGGAGCCCTTTTAAATGTCAGCCCCTAGTTATTTAGGTGCCTGAACTTGGCTTCATGAACTTACTCATACTCATTGTTTTGGAAATTGGGCCAAAGCAATCCAGCTAGTAACCAGCCCTGAAATCACCATTGCATCTTTTTCATGGCTACATAGGAGTGAATTAAATATAATCCAAAACTCATTTAATTTCAAGGCACAAACATTTGCAAATAAATTGGATGAAATACAAATACATCATATAGAACTTATTTTAATATTTCTAGATAAATAAATGCATCTCTTTGGAATTCTTTGGACACAGACATCCATGGAAGCTCTTCTTTCTCTCTTTTTATATATTTTTTTTTATAAAATCTAAATGCAGAGAGGTTTAAAAAATGGCAAATACTAATGTATACAGAAGGCTCACTGATGAACTGCAAGTCAAAAGTGCTGTATATTCCCATCCTCTATATGTCCCAACTGTCCCTATTAACCACAGGCAGTATTATATAGCAACCACACGGTCAATATTTTGCATTACTACCTTTTAATAAAATCTTTCAAATAATTTCCTCATCTAAACTTAAATTATGTTTTTAAATTTTATTCCTCTTAAATGTATGGTAGGCATTTGACTTAGCTACACATCAGAGTGATCGCATGTGACTCAGCAGCGCACTCCGCAATATTAATAGGTACTTTTCAGCTCCCTATGGGAAAAAGCAGGCAGCAAGAATCAAATTCAAGAAGTCTATTTTTTTCTCTGCTGTTTGTTACTTACCACTTAATGACCCACATGTGAAACTCAATGGTTATATAATTATTTTATATAGTAGATTTTCTGTTTATAAGTTATTTTTCTTACTCTAACATATATACAATATATCTATATATACCCCTGATAAATCTTACTTTAAAGGGACACAGTAAACTCCTTTAAGCCTCACAGTAAACATATAAGGCTTTAAGCTGTCCATACATGAAGGTCAGCTACAGAATTCAAGGGTCCCTTCCGATTCTATAAGGTTGTATTTGTTCCAAACCCACGATGTGCAGTTATCTCGTAATATGTATCTCATGTGTTGCTGTTTACATTTTATAGCTATATTAAGACATTTTATATCACATCAGTAGGAAATAAAACAAGAGAATAAATCTGTTTCTAAGACTAAGTCTATTGCAAAAAATGTTACCTGCATCTACAGACTCTCCCACGGGTGTGATATAAAAAGAATATGTGCCATTCTTAGGATGAAATTCCAGCTACATTGCAGTCAGGAGGAACCTTATACTGACTTAAATGAGGCCAGGATTTCTCTCCTGCTTTTCATTTGCTAGTTATGACTACGCATAAACCATTTGTGTCTTCCCTCTGTTCAACACTAAAGCGTCAGGCCTGTTTAATGATGAGAGTGTATTTTTTGCTGTCCGCTGGCATGCCTTAAACACTGATCTGTCCTGTTTGTGTTACACCTTTTGAATATACACACACTGTACACATATGTTCTCAATTAAACAGGATTTTCACTTATCCTGTGTACAGCATCTGGATTTTTTTTTTCTTTCTCACTAAACCTTTTTTATTATTTACTTTGCCCTAACCATAGATTATCTTCACACTTATTCTTCTATGGCTGAGGAAAACAATTTTTGCTCACCAGGAACAGCTCCACATTATTGTAATCATTTTTGATTATTTACCAAAGTGACATAATTTGTTCATTTTCTCTTTTGCAACTCAGTTAGAAACCTAGTGGCATAGATAGAGACACAATACTACTGTTTTACAAGACATCTACTGTATCTACTTTTGTTCAGATAAATACCCAGTAACTGCTGATTTGGCAGGATTGGTAAGGGTACTACTATTCACAGTGTTTTTTTTTTCCTTCTTTAATCTACAGAATAAAGTATTTTATGTACATTGGAACCAGTTAATGCCCTTTATACAAATTTGTAAGTTGTTTCATAAAGCAGGAAAGACATTGCAGGGAAATATGTGCCAAAAAGCACAGTCAAAAGGCTTCATAATTTTTACATGTCACTACAAGTCAATGATGGATATCAGTTCTAAAACGATCAATACTCAAGAGGAATGTTCTCATTTGGAGAAAATACTGCCCATTCCCCCTTTTAGAATTTGTTCAGTTCTCTATCAAAAGTCCTGGCTCTTCATATATACTTTAAACTATAAATAAACACTGCATAGTTCAATGTTCTTGATTTTCTTTTTTGTTTGTTTTTTTGTGTTTTTTTGTTTTTTTTTTTTTGATTTGAAAAATTATTGCAGTACAATTAGTTCCTGTTTGGAGTTCAGTAAGGAGCAAACAGCACAGGAGTATGGGTGGTCCGTATAGGCCCTGGAGCTGGTCGTAGGAGTGCTGGAGGAAGTGCTGAAGTCTGGAAAAGGGTGGCTGCTGGGGCTGTGCGAAGACTGAAGGGGGAATTCACAGCCACAGCAGCAGCTGCTGCTGCAGCTGCGAGCGGATTTGGTAAGATTCGTGGAGCCATTGGCTTTGAAGGTTCCTTTGAAAATACTAATTTTACCTGTGGGGAAGAGAGAAAACAAACAAGCAAAGAGACATAATTTGTTCACATTAGTTACATGACAGGTAGCTTGACTTAAGATTATAAGTGCAAAATCAGGTGAGAGAGGCCTTGTAGTGGCTACTGACTATGAGCTGCAGGCTTGTGACAGGAGACACAATCTTGCACACTGGAGAAGGGTGAGCAGGATTTCTTTGGGGACAAAGACTTTCAATGTTCATGCCTTATCACTGAGACTTACAATTTAATATGAGATTAAAAGTCAAAGCAAACCTAAAAAGGGGCTGGGCAATCTGCACCAAAGACAAGCTGCATGTACACCTCAAGAATTAAATAAAGAAGAATTAGCCATCAATTAAAAGATCTCCATCTCGACTGCTTTATGATAGAAACCAGAGCAGAATGAAAACATATCCTCTTCCCTGGTCTGACTAAGAAGGTACTTTTGGTTTTATCGTTAAGATATAAGTTCTACTTAAAAACAAGACCTCCAGCTAGCTCCTCTTTATTATCTCCTGCCTCTAATGACAAGAAAATAAACAAAGCTTATCTTGCACTAGTTATGAAAATCTCCTAATGTTTCATATGTTCGAACAAGTGATGACTTTTATGAGTGCTGCTCTATGTCATCTTGCTGAGTCTTCAAATGTATTTTACTAGAATAATGTTCATTCTTATAAGGACTGTGAAAAAGTGGCAGACATTTTAAAATGTTGTACTGAAAAACTTTTGTCTGTATCATTTAGTATGGTGCCAAATCATGTTATTTTTGTTACTGTCACTGAGGCTTCTGCTATGAAACCGTTTAAATCATGAATCTTGTGCGTTACCAAATAGAATTTGAAAAACTCTTAATTTAGAGTTTGCAAAAAGAAAAAAAATAAACTCAAGTTTTTTCCAGACTGATTGAAAATACTCACAGAGGTCCATTATTATTTAAGAGAATCTGCATTTGGTACGCATATAAATGAACATCAGAGTAGTCCATATAGATTTCTGCAGTTTCAATGGGATTTCAAGTTTCTAATGAAATGCCAGGAGCCTGGATACCTTTGTTCTGGTTTTATAACTCTGAGATAAGAACAGAGACCTCATCTACTGACAAAGAAAAGTTCCCATTGGCTCTGATGGACTTTTGGTAACCCTGTGTCCTGGCACAACCCAAAGCCCTTTGCAAAGAACATAAACCTGAGTATGTGTCATTGAACACATGGAATACGGAATATATGTACCATGCTGTGGTAAATCTCGGTGTAAATATGGACACTGCTCTCTCATAGGGAAACACAATTTCTCATCCTTGAATTAAAAGGGGTTTTCAAATAATTAACTTGCACTATATCAGTCTGATACTTTCCATTCAACAGTACCTTGGTGGGTGAACAGTCAGAAAGTAAGGACAGGGGTAGCCTGGCATGAACCAACAGCGAGTTTCATCATTATACTACCACCATATTCCAAAAGATCTGTTGGTTCTTTACCAGCCAGACAAATACAGAATTTTGACTTTTCCTAATACCCACTGGCAACACTGCTGGCCTCGAGGTCCTTTAAAGATCTGGGAAAGATACTCAGAGGGGACCAGATTCTGTGATTCTCTTAACAGAGGACATAATGGATGCTATATACAAAGTTCCTCATGGTGCTTATGAAAAGCAACGATCTGATCTTTTCCTTGATTAGTGTTACACCCACTGATCCAAGCTGTCTTCTTCCTTTCTGAGCATTTGACTTTTTCCTCCTTTCTTACATTTTTTAGTAAATAGGCTTTTTCAGCCTTGTTTAGAACAGACAAGAGGCAAAAAAAATCCTGAGTACAAAGTGAAAAAAAAACAAAACAAAAAACCAACAACCCAGGCCAAAACAACAGGACTCTGATTGTGGTCTAGAATTCCCAGTTAAGGATGTTTTTCATAAGAGCTATTTTATTGCTGAAAGTCTGGACTATCAAACACCTGATAACCTCTTTCTCTCCTGTGTAGTATTTTATACATGTAGGACATATGCTGCTTAAAGAAGAACCAAGTAGGTCCCAACATTACAAGATTTCTTAAACTCTGAAATAGTACTGTGGGAATTCATAAAGCTTCCTTCTCGGAAGCATGCAAAACTAGACTAGACAAAGCAGTACAAATGATATTGAAAACACACCATTGTAAAGTTTTTGTTCTAGAAAAGCTATGAAAATGTAGTATGTCCTTTTTCTAACTTCTGTAGAAAAAAAATTTGGTGATCTTCATACATTTTTTGTCATAAAGAACACAGATCTTATGTGACTATATATTAAAAGCCTAGAAATATCTTGCCATTCTTGGAGGAATCTGTAACTCCTAATGAAGTTAGATAGCTTTTCAGTTAATTTATCAACATGCTTCTGATTTCAAGATAGCTGCAAAACCACTAATATCTAATACATACAGTATGTTGCACCTTCATTTCAAACATCTCTGCAAGTACTAATTAACACAAAGGTCAACATTAAGAGTAAAATAGCCATTTCCTTTCTGTTTCCTTTCCAATTAAGTAAATTAAGGGACAGTAAAGGACTTGAAAAATTAATGGAGAGTAAAGAAAAAGTCTATAGCTCATCAAAAACATTTACGTTCAAAGCAAAACTAGCAAATCCTTGGCTTGTTGCTATGTCATTCTGCATTTCAAGTGACAGTAATTTTGGTATTTTTTCTATTCAAAACCAAAAAGACTAAATGGAGAACTGCTCTTCTCCTTTCTCACTGTTTTACTATACATATCTGTTCATTTATTGATAACTCATTCTTTCCTTCTTAAATCCCCTTTGCTTCTTTGCTCACCTCTGGCCTGACTTGCATATTGTGAGCAATTGGGAGTGAGGGATCAGGAAAAGGACACGTTGCCTTGATTTGTCTGTGCAGCAACTAAATCACCTTGACCCTTGACTGGAGTTCTGAGAAAACACCACTACATAAAATGGCAAATAGAGAACTATGCAAAACAGCAACAGTAATGTACTAGTTATTTTCAGCCCTTGGGAAACAATGAATTTCCTAAAGGAATAACAAGAATCCTCTCAGAGAGGCTTTAGCAATTCCATATCCTACTTACCTAATTACATATTTTCTATTCCTTTTAGTATAGCTTATATGTATTGTAGACTTTGGTCTTCCTGGTGGATTACTGAAAACCCTATGGGCTATTTCCTTACTAGTGGATCTACCAGAACAGTGCACTGCATTATGCTACAACATCTAGGAAAGCTCCTACCCAACTGAATTGGGCATATACCACTCACGAGGGCTGCCCCAACAAGGACACGCTTTTGGTTGTAAAGAAAAGAGCTTTCAGTCAAAGAGAACTGAGTTTTCACAGAGAAAAAAAGCTGCATATTCTGCCTGCATTAGAGAAGATGGTCAAGGAATAAGGGGCTGATCTCTGTGAGACCAATGAATCAACATCCTTCCTCTGCCAAAACCAGCTATAAACCCTTAGAAAACACCATGGCACATAAAACAATCATGCAGTTTATCTGATGGAGATAAATGTCAGATGTTTCACTATCCCACCCACAATATAAGCTGTTTCTTAATGAATTGCAGGATCCTAGCAGGGTTTTTTATTAAAAATTAATTTTTTTTCTCAGCTTTTGAAACTTGTAAGAACTGCGTTTTTGATAGTTTATCCTGACAGTCAAAAATGTGACCAGAACCATCCTGAGACTGAGTGGAATGAAATGAGAGATGGATTTTTAAAATTGTTTCAATTGTTATCTAAATAATTTTCTAAAAAAGGATAGAATAAAGGTTTTATGTTTCATAGAGTTTTATTTAGTCATTTCATCACTATTGTCCTTGGTGAAAACTGGAAAAATCCTGTTTGACATCTGGATGTTTCTTTCATCCCTTGCTCTCTAATGACCTTTGAAGCCAACTTCTTTTCTGAGGTTATTCAGGGTAGCTACAAAAACAAGGACCCACGGGTAGTCCACACCCATCAAAGTATACAAAAAGTCCCTTTTGGGCCTTCCAGGGCTAATTCAGACACTTGTATACTCCCATTGCTTACATTATTCCTCTTATTTTAAACATTTTTCTACATACATTTTCTAAATACTCTATTCAGCAGGGTTAAAATAAAAGTAAAATTAAAAGGTGATTGGCTTACCCCTAGAGGATGTGTTCCCTTTTGGAGTTTGTTGTAAGGGCTGTATTTAGGTTTAGGTGGCTTCCCAGCAGCTCTGTCTTTGTGCCTTCTACTGCTTATGTGCTGTTAAAATACATTAAAAAAAATAAAAAAAGAATTATACTTCTTTAATAGATCAATTCAGGTACTGCTTTACACAAGGGTGCTCCAATACTGAAGTCTACTGCTCTCCACAACAGCATTACTTCGACTAATTCATTAACGGACAGGAATAGGGTCTGTTCCAATTTGAACGATCCTTTGCACATCACATATTGGGACTGTGGTTCTCCACAGTGCTCAGTTCAACTCTGCTTCCACTGTAGTCAATTATTTTCTCACCTTTGTTAACTTCAACAAGACCTGAATTAGGTCAAAGATAGAAGCCTTTGAAAAAATCCTCCCTGTCTCTATAAAGCACCCATCCAATTCAATCCACTGCTTACAAAATCTTGGAAGAATATTAGACAGCAGAGCATCCCCTACTCAGGGGTGGAGGCAGAGGGAAGGTCACAAAATTGTTTAAATCCCTAAGAATCCCTTCATAAAATCTATGCGATTTTATAAGAATCCTTCTACCCAGACCTTATTGCACTATTAGATGTAAGAGATCTTTTTCAGAACTATATTTTTACTTTGATTTTCATTTTCAAGAGCGTTCTCACCAAAAAAAAAAAAAAAAAAAAAAGGACAAAGGACTGGACATTTTTTTTTCCTGAAGACAAGCAGAAGACAAGTATTGCTATTATCCATTACAGAATTTATCTTCATTCTTGTAAAATTCCTTAACAAGTATCTAATTCCAAAAGGCATATGGAATTAAACTGTTTTTCAGAACAAAGGCTTTGTTCATCTGAAGAATGACTGAACATAAACTTAGCATAATTGCAATTTAGAGGTCATGCTTCTCAGTTACAGAGTAACACTGATTAAAAAAAAAATAAATATTACAAATCCTCTCCATCCCGCATTTCTAAGAAGGTTATTCAGTGTTTTGTGAAAATACTGGCTGCACCCAACTCCACACTGTTGTAAAGGCAAATATCATGTAGTACACTAAATGGCAGGGTTTATTAGCTTATGACAATTATAGTAGTCTAAAGACAGTTGTAACGTTGCAGCTTACAGCTTCTATAACCCTTTAAGAAATATACATAATCAAGAGCTTTTTGAGCAAATATATTCTGTGCATGGGAAAATAATATCCAGAAGAAAACATACAGCATGAAAGACAAGTACAAAGGGCAAAATCTGTAAGCTCCATTTGGATACAAACTGTTAGACTGACACACTGATTGTGTTGGTACTTTATCACCATGAAAACAAAGAACAGCCAAGGATTCACACTCTGCAAACTAGCTGAGTACCTGTTTCAGTTGTGTCTCAGAGTTTACGTGCACATCACATATTTCACAGTGAAATGTTTTGTTCTGAAGGCCTGTGTTTCCTTTATTCACAGGTCCTTTGCCTTTTACGCCTGCCCGGGGAAAGGCTTTTATGGTTCCACTTCCATTCCGAGCTTCCAGCATAGTTTTGTGCTTAGTCCCTGGAGACATTAGAAATGGGAAACAGAAACAACTTTGGCAATTTGGTTGCATTCATTTTTAAATTTTCTTTTTAAAAGAAAATCATATGAATCTCAGCTTGGTGCCATGTGCTATCCTTGGAATGTGCCTGTGTTTGTCTGTATCAGATTCATACCAGTGTTACAGTATTTCACATCTGATATTTAATAATTAAATTACATATCTGTAAGTAATGCACTAGAACAAAGCAGCCACACCAGTAAGCAGTGGCACAATCAGGTATCCTGATGGGAAGTTAAATGGGTGTGACTTTTCTCATTAACTCCTGCTGCTAATAAGACCTGAATTGTAGTTGCAAAGGAAGAGTAACTTTGCTATTAATGATGTACTTGTCTTTGATTTGTAGTCTTCCTGAATGGATTGATAAGCAGTATGCATTAGGTATCTTACACTTAAATCTGTGATTAATTACTTAGTCTCCAAATCAAAAAGGGGGCAGAGTTTCTGTCAGCAACCTATGGATCCTTAATGGCCTGGACAGAAACCAAAACGTGGGAGAAACATGCATGTGAGAAAAATGCACTTACATTTTTTATTAAAATAAAGATTGGATAGAAAACAACAGTGTCCTATTGTTTTACCTTTATTCAGTCTGAACAATTGCTTACACTGTTGACTTCCATGCAGGTAGTCTGTGATGATAATGGACTACTACTGTGTTCAGAATCAGTGTTCCACTGATAATTGTTGTATGCATCCACATACAACACACACAGTTTATCAGCACAGACAGCAAAAACTTGGAGGGTTGTTATTTAAATATTCAGAATAATATTTTAGCTCTCATCTTGCTCAGAAAAATGTTTAGAGTCTACCTCTCATATGAAATTAAATAGGTTAAATGGGTACAGCTTTAGGAACTTGAATTTTCACTAGCTGAAGATCTGGCATACAGCAAACACAGCATTCAAAACTGATTAGGCTTTGTTTCTCATGAATACCAACAAATTACCATTTCCTTTTTAATTTAAGTGGATTCTATAGGCATGCCAAAGTTATTTCTTTTTTTAATATGCCATAAAACGACTGATCATTTTGCTGCAGGCATATCATCTCTGTATCTGTATTTCAAACCTCTGCCTGTCTCTTAATTCTGTCTACCTAGCTGGCAGGTAACCCCTGAATCCAAAATCAGAAGTTCTTCTGTAGGACTGTTATAGGTGGTCATTGCCACCATATTAAATCCCAAGATCGTTCAACCCTGCTCACCACAAAGCAAATCACTAAGAAGCTTAAATAGTGACTGTGAATGGTGGCTCTCTACTACTCTCTACTACTCCTATTGATGCTACTAGCTCTAATAACAAGAAAAGGTTTAAAAATTAAGAAAGATGGAGGTAAGCAATTACCCCCTTATGCAGCAGTTGTTATCGGTTGATGAAAACAAAAGAAAAATACAAATAATTTAAACAAGTTATTAACAGACAATAAGGATCTAAGAGTTCTGTCTCTCATCATTGAACTCTGACTGACTGACACTCCCTCTTTCAGCCCTAATTTGTTAGATTTCAAACAAAACTAATGGCATTCATACTCAGTTTGCTAACTGGCACAAAAAACCCTATGTGAACTCTGAACACCAAAGGTAATGAAGCATGAGCTGTCATTTAGCTCTAAAAGGTCTGGAAGCTGCAAAAGCTAAAATGTAAGAAAATGGGTATCTTGCATGCAACAAATTCCTTTCTTCCCCCTTTATGAAAGCCTCTTTGCCTGTCATTTTTATTCTTTAATAGTTAATGAATTCCATGTAATTGCCAGTTTTCTGCCACCTCTTTGTCCCCTACTGCAAGAGATCTAATCTATTCAGGGGAAGATAATTGCAGAGCTCTCGAGACAGAAGGAAAAAAAGGAAGAAAGCAAGCACTGCTCCATCTCACCACTGTTGTGCGCCTCCAGCTGTGAGGCAGAGTTGACAGCGACTTTGCATAGTGAACAGTACAGCAGTCTTTTTGCTTTTTCTTCCTCAGTCTCAACGGAAGGGCATGTGGTGCTGCTAGTGGCTGTCGTGGGGATTTTCTCCACTTTAGAGGTGATCTCAGTTGTCGTAGCACTGCTCTTCCGGACTTCCACGGTTGTCGTTGTTGATATTGCTGGTGTCCTTGTGGAAACGTCTGTGGTCAAAGGGAGGAGATGGAAGGGGGAAAAAAAAAAAAAAGACTGACCTTTGGCATTTGCTTGTTTGTATCCTAATGCTGTAACCCACAGAGAGCCAGATCGTGCCTGTGATGGTTTGACTAATGGTAATGAACTAAATCTGACCTTATTCTTTGTATTTTGCGTGGTTACAACATACAGTACTCACGTATCAAAATGCCACATATTCTGTCTCCTGCATCCTGCTAACACCCAGTAAATATAGAATTCATAAACTGAAAAGACAGGTCATTAAGACTGTAATGTAAAACTGAAAGATAATCCACTAAAAGGGGTCATGTAAATTAACAGTACAATAGGCAGTTAAAATTTGTACGCAGCACTTTAGAGGCATAAACTGCTACAATACTGCATAATACTTACGCTGAGAAGCCAAGCTAGAGTTTTAACATTTTGTACTAATAAAAATAAAAATTAAATAATTGTATGTTCTTGATATCTGATATAATAAAACAATAAATTGATAATTCACTTGATATTAGCCAGAACTAATATTAAATTACTTAAGCTAATTATTAATACATTCATCCATGCATTATTATTATCTATTATTGCATACTAACAACATACACTAATAAGAGTAGTTAAATACACAACATTCTATACTGAGACCTACACAAACACTAATAAGATTTCTGCTCTGTGTATCAGTGGTATGTTTGGAAAAACTGTAAGCATATTATATACCTAAATCTATTAAGAAACCCAGTGCTTGCATCTAAGAACCTGTGTTTTTCTGTAGTTTTCAAATCCAAGAGAGTAAATACACAATGATTTTGTGGTTTGAGTAAAATACACACGACATTTGGATATGGCAGAATCATACGGTACTTAAGTACTTAGCAGGGTAAAGGACAGTAAGATCCATCACTGAGACAGTGGAGAAGATGGCAAGTAAGGGACAGGAGAAGGAGACAAGGGACAGGAGCAGTTCTGCCTTTGCAGCATTTTATTTTGTTATATATCAAGCCTACTGATTAGCAGCTTCCCCGGTAAGAAATCTTAGTTACTTTACTGAGATAGTCCTGGAATTGGGTATTTTCCACCATAGACAGCTCATTTTGGTTTCTTGCATCGCTTGGTGTTAGCGGTGCTCTACTGCCTATTAGAACAGGCAAAATAACAATTATTTAGCTTACAGATCTCAGTATGTTCTGTGATGCAGGAAGGACACCACTAACTGATGCTGCAGAGGTGTGTTCCAGACTAATACTGTTCAACAACTTCAGTAATGATGAATGCACCTATTAACTTAGAAGACATTAGCAAACCGGGGGCAAGCGCAAACACACTGGGAGACATGATTCAAAACAATTTTAATGTGTTGGAGAAATGGAAAAATAGATGCTTTTCAGTAAAGGCAATTGAAGAAATCCATATTCAGTAGGATTAATCTGATCTATTAAAACAGTGATGAACAGCCCCAGTACTGCTTTTTGTTTGTTTGTTTGTTTGATTGATTTTGGGTTGGTTTTTTGTTTGGTTTTTTTTTTTCAGAAAAAGCTTTCAGTAGCAGATAACAAGAGGAACACCGATCTCTTACATCATTGTGTTACGAAAAACACCCCTACCATACTGAAAGTGCAAAGTAAGAGATTTATGAAGTATTTTTTTTATCCTCTAATCAGCACTGGAGACCCTGTGTCCCGCCTCAGGACTGTAACATCAAAAATTAACAATTACTTGCTTTGTTGTTATTCCAGCAGCAATACAAATGCAAACCAACAGGAGAGTGGCTGCAAGGGAGGAAGCCAAAACAAATTAGAGGTGTAGAAAATATGGACTGTGGATACAGAAGACGAAGGGCAAACGCTGACAACATTTTTCTTATCTGTAGAAGGTAGCTAAAAATAAGACAATAAAGTCTTCTCCCTGATCCCTCGTAACAGGTCAAGGACTATTGGGTTACAACAAGAGAGACTTAGATTAGACATCAGGAAATTCTTTCTAATATTAAAACTTGTAAAGCCTGAGTATATCCTGTCTACAGAGATCTGGAAATACTGCCCACTGGAGGGCTTGAAACTGTCCGGAAAAGGATCTGCAAGAGCAACCCAGGCATGATCCCCTTTCAGTCAGTGGGAATACGACCCATCAAGCCCTATTAATTTCTACAAATTGTGTATTTTGTAATGTTTCTACATATTCCCCCAGAGGGTTTTTAAAAATTACTATTCATAAAACCAAGAAAGCAGAGTTTGTCATGTGAATATTCTACATATTGCCAGGCATTAAAGTATATAGCAAAAATAAGGTCCCATTCAAGGTCTAATCAAAGTATTTTTTTTCCTGAGAGTAAGTCTGGAGGTGATTATATCCTGAAGGTACTGGGGAAGTCAAATACTGGTGCAGAAGGAATGATGTTACCTTGCTTAACGTTCCGTTCTTATTTATTATTTTTTACAGACCAACAATAATGTTTCAAAAGAAAAACACTATTTTGAAATGTTAAATATTTTGTTGGGAAACTGATAAGAAAACGAAGCTTTTTTAGATATGTCCACAGACGTACACATTTAACTAGTCACTCCTTTCCCATCCCAGAGAACCTGTGTTGATATTGGCTTTCCTTCAGTTGAAAGTTGCTGCAGTAAAATTATTTTCCTCAAAAGCCTACTCCCAGCAGTACATAACACTGCTTTTGAAACTTTAGTTTCTTCATCCTGGGACTACTGTACAGCAGTAGGTCTAGCTAATGTACTTTCCTGGTGAAAAGGAAGGCAGAGGGCAGATGGCACCAAGGAGTGAGAACAAAAAGAGAAAGAAGACAGTAACGTTCTCTAAGGATTGATGGCAAGGTTGGTGCTCATTCTAATCTTGCAGGAAATTAGATATGTACATCAACTGCCATCACCAGCTTTGCAGTGGAAGGGTCAGGATTTTGCCTTAAGCAAAATATAGATCATAATTTCTTTATTTTCCATAGGAAAAACTGAGGCAATGCACAAAAAAAAAAAAAAAAAAAAAGCTTAAATAACTGCAGATTTTGTTCTGCCTCAGGTATCTGACCTCCTATATCTATGTTGATCTGATGTTTTACCATGTAATTTTTTTAAAGCAAAAAGAAAATGCAATCAACTATGCTCTCCCTTGTGAGGGTGTCTTGATATGCATGGCTGAAAGCAGCATTGTATATAAAAATCAAACTAAAAATGGTAGATGTCATCAGCATAATCTTCAACTAAGAAAAATATCAAGGTTCAGAGCATATATTCTGCTCATATAACTTTCAAAAAGTGCCCTATATTAATACATTACATATTTCACACGCATTGATGACATACAAAAATATACAAGAAAACCATTCAATTTCCCCATCTAAAAGCCATAACACATTTAAAGATGCAAAGCTGCTCCTCCTTATATAAACTTCAGAATTATCTGCAGGAATTAAGGAGAAAACATTCTAAAAGCTGTCAAGTAAGCTTACAAAGTGGGAATTCAAATCCTCTTCTCACCAGAACTTCTAAACTAACTAGCATGTGTCTCTTTGAATATATTACAGTGGTGCTGCCTGTACACACTTCAGTGCCCTAAATAGAGAGTACAGCATTAAAGGTACAAGAGATTAAAAAAAAAATCCAAACCACATAAACCACAACACCAAAAAGGAGCACGAAGGCATTTGAATTTATGCCTTGAAGACTGAATCAGCATTTCTTAACATTATATTATGACAGTCCTTTAAGAACTATTTCAATAATAAATTATCTAGAATCAAGCTGGATAATCAGTCACAGTCAAATGTAAGATTTGTTTCTGGTGACGCAGGCTTGCAGAGCTGTGCTATTTTCATACCAGTGGCCTGCAGCAAATACTCATTACTGCAACTGTCGCCGCTTGGCTTTGGCATAGAAGCTGATTGCTAATATTGTATGGAACTGGACTCCAGCAGCAAAAAATGGAACACTTCAGGATTCAAAATAATCCATTTGTGTTCTTGGTCTTAATATAGCAACAGAACAAAAATTAAAAATACCAAAAAATTACATTAAAACCTAATCCTGCTCACTGCCAAAATAAAATATTTATTTCAACAAGACAAAGCCAGATGAAAAACATTCTGTGAGAACTGACTCCTTCCAGTACTACAGATACCACAGTTCAAGTGGAAAACTGCGTGTGTGATTAAGGTCCTCCTCAGAAGCAAGATTAATTTTATATCCCAGCTACAAAACTCATGAATTTTCTTTAGGCTGAGGAAACATAAAACTGCAACTCATGGTTTTCTTCTGAGTATGTGAAAGTCTCACTCATCAGTTCCTGCTACTAACTGTAAGAATTTCTTATCCTGAAACTATAAATAGACCCACAGAGAGAAAAGTGCTCTGACTTCAAACAAATCACAACTATTCATGAACGTGTTTTTTCTTCCACTATCTCAAGTGGCACACATTTAAAAATATCTGATTTAGCACATACCCATGTATTGTGGTCTCATTTAAATAAAATCCTGCATTTGACATAAAAGGATTGAGCATTTGGCCCATAACGCTGTCCAGGAAAAAACAAAAAATCCCCAGAAAAACCCCCTGCAGAAACTGCACATTTTTTCTCATGACAAACAGGACTTGATATGAAATATTTCACTATATTATAAGCATTGCACTATACTCTTAGTATTGCAGAAATGTTGTCAGCTGGCTCACTTATAGCTAACCTGCATCAAGTAACAGAATGCTTCCGTACAGGTGCTCAATACTGGCATGTTCAAAAGAGTCTCAGCATATTATTTTCCTGCCTACTAAGAACCAGGTCATCCATTTCCTTGGGCTGCTTTGAAAATCACATGTTCCGTGTCCTCTGTGGTAATTACATTTGAAGATAAGATGTAATTTCTTTCAAATCTATAAATATAACAGCAGAGTGTATTAAAAACAAAGTACCATCTCAAAAATAACTATGCAACTGACTTTTTTTCATTCTTGGCTGACTTTCTGTACTCATATGCTAAAAC